TTATATGGCGCACAGTAAATTTTATAGATTGTGCGCCTTCCGCACAGTGATTTTTTATTGAAAAATAAACACTGGGTTCTATGTTGAAAATACTATAATAAATTAATAGTAAATGAAAGAAAAAATCTAAAACTAATAATTATTTATATCTAAAGTACATGTTTTATATATCTACAGTTTGAAATGATATAAAAGAGAAGAAATTCAAAAAGGCTCTAAAATGATTAATTCAATTTTTTAAACTATAATAAGAGGTAATGATGTGTTATTATTACTTATATAAGACTAATGATAATCTGAAATATGTTAATTCACCTGATTATTCACTACTGTCTGAGAGAATTTTGAGAAGGAATATAAGAAAATTTCAGGATAGATCATATATATTGTGAAGTAACATTATTTATTCTGAATTCAAATTTTAGGAACTAGAGTCTATATATCACGAAATATGTGTAAAATTTGATAAAGTGAAATTAGGTAAATGATTAACTTTTTTGTAGCTAAATTATGATTTTTTTTTTATAATTAATTTTTTATTTATAGGGATAATTCCTCTTGGTAAAAAAATTAAACTAATGTTATGAGTTCTATATATAAGACAGTATGTATATTATAAAAAATATATTTTTGATCCAGAGAAATTCAAAAAGATGATTGAAAAAGCTTAACTATCATTAAAAGATTTTTTTTTGATCAATTAGTAACTGAAACTAATTTACAAACTAAAAGTCATATAATTAATAAAAAAAATAAGTTAAGATTAGTTTCATTTTATTATTTTCTAATAGGGTTTAATAATAAGTTTATTAATAGAATTAAGGTAGAAGTTAGTGTTTTACTAGATACATCTAAAGCATCTTTTTTAATAATAGAAACTTTAGTTAATACAAGCTTGACAGTAAAACGTGAAACTATTACAAGAAAAAAACTTATTAAGCAGAAGCGCATATAATAGTATTAAGAAAATTTTTGTTAGAAAATGTAAGTATACAAAAATTTTCTTTAGCTTTATTATTTGTAGATAACAAACTAGCATTTATAATTTATTTACAGATTAAAAACTTGATAGTTCTAAATGTGAATAATTTCATAACATTCATGAGTATCATTATAATGATATAACGACTACATATGAAGTTTCTCACTTTATAATAATATTCTTAAAAGTCTTACCAGAAATAGTATTTATTCCATTTTACAATCCTAATCAAAAAAGATATATGCATAATGAAAAGGGTATTGATAAAAACATCATAATATCAAATGCTAATACATTTTTCTTCTCTTATTTATGGCTTAGTTATATAAGATAAAAAAAGCATTTGCTAATTTAAGACTTTTATCAGAAACATATGCTGAAAGAATTGAATGTTTCTTAATTTATAATTATGATGATAAAATTAAATAATATTAGGCTGACTAAAGTATAAAAAATACCAAGCTAGTTGATTTAAAAGAAAGATCTTTTTATTTAACTAATAATTATATAGAAGTTTTTAAATACTTGATAAATGTTTCTGAAATAAGAGACTATATAAAAATATAGATATTAGTTATATCTATAGACTATTTCAGACAACTTTATATATAATGTACCATTAATTATCACATAAAAGTTAGAGATTTTTCTCAAATATCAGAACAAATTCTGCATATTGTTTTAATGATTAGATCTTTATATGTATTCTTAAATAGTCATAAAATTGTATTTTTTGAAAATTATATATTTTTTGATAAACTTTTTCATGAATTATTCAGACATCTAAAGGTATTAGCAAAAAAACCAAAATCTTACAAAATTAATTTGATACTTGAACTTGTATTTTAGGATTAATCTTAAGTACAGTTAATCATTTACAGAAATTCAAATTGTCTAAAGATCCAGAAGTCTGATATTTCATTAATTTATTAAATAATATTGTTCCATTAGTTTTAGATTTTTATCCTGTTATCCTGTTATATTTCATAGCGGAAATTGGATGACATATAAAAAAGTAATATTTTAGATTTTAGACTATTCTCTTTTAATATAAGCATAAGAATTATAACAAACTTCTATTAGTATTTTTAAGTAATATTTTTTACTGAACTAGTACTAATCATCCTATTTCTAAAGTTCTTGCAAATTTCATTCATATTTTTAATGATTATTATGTAAAAAACTTTTATAGCTTACTACAGAAATTAAATACAGTAGATCAGATTATTTGACAAGTATAAGTAATTGATCAGATGCGTAGTGACAACTCTTTTATGAATGTATTTTCTGAGAATCATAATATTAGATACTTACTAAAGCAATTGGAATATCTTGAAAAACAGACTGCAATTTTCATATTAAATTTTTTTACAAATATCTATGAAAATCTTAGCAAATTAAAGATTATTTCATCTAATGTATATTCAAAATCAAAAGCATATGAACTTCCAATACTTGAAGCTTAAGTTGATGTTAAAATTTTAGCTATAGCTTAGAATACAGGATACCTTCCTAAAGAAGATAAATATTGTGACTTGAAAGGTTATGTAGATTTACATGAAATAGGTTATATTTTTATTTGTGAATATACTTATCATTTGAGTGTTTCTTATTTAAGTTAGAGAGTCAATGTCAATATTGCAAGCATAGGGAACATTCCTAATTTAGTAATTATCTGACGATCATTATCGATCATTTTTTGATCGTCAATAATAACTATCGATCAATTAAAATTTATATAAAAAAATATAAAAAAAATATAAAATATGATAATAAAAATTTATAAAATATATTTATTTAATTAAAAATTTATAAAAATTAAAATAAAGACAAAGAATGAAAGAATTTTTTTTGTGCTAAAAGGATTTTACCTAATTCATCTACTTCAAATATATCATTATCTTCATCTTCATCTATAATGATTTCTTTTCCATCATCTTCTGATTCTTCTAATGTTCCTTTTGATAATCTATCTATAAAATTTTGAGAAAGTTTTTTAATTCTATCACAAAAATAATTTGTATAAGGTAAGCATATAAAATTTAAAATTTTTAAACAATCACTATGATATGTATAACCACAAATTAAAACTTGTCATGAATCTTCAGTATCTAATAAAATTGAATATTGATCATAATCACAAAATTTTTCAGTAAAAGGAGGTTGATTAGAATTATATCCAGTAGGAAGAAGCATAACATCTACCTTTGTATTTAATGTAGCAAGAAAATATTGTGAATATCTTAATCGTCTTCTTCCTGTATCATATTCAATAATATACTTTTGTTTTGATTACTATATAATTGAGAAAAAAATTGTAATAAAAAATCTGCTGTAAGAAAAATCAAATTTTGTAATTTTTTGCCCTTCTACAGATATTTTTTTTTTGAACATAAGTATTATTAAAATTATTCTCTTTACGTAAAGCATCTATAACAAATGCATCTTTTCGAAGTCCTTCATGATTTAATATTTTATGTGATGTTTGTCTTCGTAAACTAGAATGAAAATTTTCTACAAAATATTCATTAAAAATGGAAGATTATCTTGCATACATTTAAAAAGAGGATGTCCAATAGTTTCCCAATAAAAAATATCTGAAAGAAATATCAAAGGTACTTTATTATAATTTTTGCGTCTCATTCTTTGAAAAAGGTATCATAAACGAAATATAGATTCAATATAATAATCAAAAAATCCTTTACGAAAAAGATTTGCATATATTTCAAGTGTTAAAGGAATAAGATTATCTAATAAATCAATAAAAGTACGATATTCTAAATCCTTTAAAGTTTGAAAATTTTGAATAATTTTTGTTTTAATTAAAAGCCAAGCAGAATAAGTAATATGTAAAATCAAATTGATTCTCCAAGGTTTTGGTTTAGCAGCCAACTTTTTCTGTTGTCCCATTATTGCTTTCTAAAGTTTATCAAAAAATGGCCAATATTTTATAATAAGAATTTCACAACTATTTAAAGAAATATGAAGAGGACCTAATATAGGAATAATTCCTAAGATTTCATTAGGTATGTTATCATTTCCTTTTAATTTTTGAATAATAGCTGATCATATATATACTTGTCCTAGAAAATTCGCAAGAACTGGAATTACATTTTGTTGTAAATAATTTTTAATTGGAGTAATATTAAATAAAACCTGAAGAGCTTTAAGATATTGTTTGATTGATTTAAGATCTAATGGAATTAAATCAACAAGCTTAACATATTCCATAGAGCGTTGATTTTTTGTACAATTGATTTAAGGATCATATACATGAATTGTTAACCAATCTTCTAAATCAGTTGGATTCATTTTTGTTATATCTGGAATGTCATACCAGAATAGACGTCGATCAGTATAACTAAAACCAAAATGTGACATATATTGATAAGTTAAAGTACCACATAAAGCATTAATATCAATTATTAAAGGATTATAAATATGTAAATTTTCGTTGGTAATTTGTTTAATTGCAGAAATTGGTGGTGTATTAATAATAATAGTAGCCATATGAGAAATATGATGAAGAGATGTTGTAGCAGGATGACGAGCTTCATGGATGTCATGATAATCATCTACATTTAAAATACATAAAAATTCCATCTATAAAAAAATCAATTAATTGTTAAATATTAATTTTTATTATTAAAATCAATTAATATATAATAATATATACATGATTTTGAAAATATTCTAAAAAATTGTTATAATGATTATCTTTAATCCTAACTCTAGTTTGATTAACTGTCTTAAAAGTAGTTGAAATTCCCATATTTGATAAAGTATCAATTCCTTTTTTTGATAGTTCCGAATGTTGAAAAAACAAACCAACATCATGTTTAAGTAAAGTTATTTGTTTGTTACGTAGAGAAGCAAGCTGATAACAAAGAACTACAATCTGATTTTTACTAGTAGTATTTGTTTTTTCACATTTTCCAGCTGGATTTGTTGATTGATATAACATATCAAAAAATTGGCGTAACTCAGGTGCTTAAAAAGAAATAATATTAAGAAATTCCTCAGGATCATAAATCCCATCACTATTTTGATGATGTTGAAGCTGATACAAAATGTCAGTCATTTTCTTAATACAAGTTTGAAATAATGAAGAAAAAATTGATATATCTAAAAAAAAAAAATTAAAAAAAATTAATTAATTTGTAAATTATTATAATTGAATTAATTAAATATTATTTATAAAATTACAAACCTTTAGAAATATCAGAGCATTTTTGCATCTTATTTGCCAATTGTACTTGCATATCTAAAACTTGCTCATGTAAAGAATCCAATTCAGATTGTTTTTTAACAATTTTTTGTAAAGAAGCTAATTCCACTTGTTGTTGTTCATAAATATTTGTAGGTATAGTGATATGAGTGCTCCTTAAAGCCTGAGATTGAAACTGAACCTTTGTTAACATCCTTCTCTGTGATAAATGTTCAGTTGTATTAAACGATTTTAATTGCTGTTTTACTTTTGCTATTAGATTACTTATATACTGCATATAACACTTATTACAAAGTAAATCACCATCACATAATAAATTTTTGCTTTGGGTAATACACTGTTCTAGGTTTTTTGGCAACTTTTCAACATATCTGTTGAAACTTTTCGCCATTTTGACGAGAACAAGCTGCTGCATTTAACACACTTTAAATTTCAGTTTTCTTTATCCATATATATAATATATAGAGTATTGGTTTAGTTGGAGATTAACCACCCAAACGCAGGATTAAGAAGCATACTGTTTCTGTAGTTAATTCTGAACATTTGAACAAAATTTTAATGAATTAACTTATATAATTTAACGAGTTTACCTTTTACGGTTTAGTTTTTATATGAAAAACGTAGTCTATTTTAATTAGCTAAATTAAGAATGATCCTCATGCTTATCATTATTAAATTAGTTTTAGGTAGCATTATATTTTATATTATGTATTAAATTATATAATTTGGCATATTAATATTAAAATTTGGCTGTAATAAAAATCTAATTTTGACTTGCATTAAAAATTAATTTTGACTTGTATTTTTATTATAATTTGACCCATTATTCTAAATCATGAATAGTGAAAATGTCTAGAAAACGTTCAGAAAATGGATTACATTCAGAAAATAGAAATATTGTTCAGAAATTATTCAGAAAATATAAATTATATCTGGAAAATATCCAGAAAATGTCCAGTTTTGCATTCTAAAGAAATTGATCATTGAAATTCTGAACAACAACAAATTCTGGACAAAATGAATATCTGGAATCCACCAAGATTTAGAACATATTCTGGATAATAAAAATATTCAATACATTTACCTGTTAAATTCTAGACATTCTTTTTTTATAAGCGAAAAAAATAAAGTTTGATTTACAAATTATAGTATCACAATTATGCAATTGTGAGTTTGCAATTTGTACATGTTTGTATATAACTTTGCGTGACTGTACTCACTAGTTTAACCAACCAGACTCCACTTCTATACAACTCTTATTTGTCAAATCTACTCTACTATTTACTTCTACTACTTTTTGTCTTACATCAATACATTTTTACTAAGAAATGCCAAAAATAATCTTTTTTTTTACTGCATTTTCTTTTCATTCAATACCTACCATCATCAAAAGTATCATGCATTTATAAATCAAAAATAAAAGAAAGTTTGAGCTTAAATGAAACTTTCATCTCCTGAATTATCACAAATCATTTCTTGAATTATCTCAGAATTCCACATGTGGAATATTTGCTAATGTTTAAAATTTTATTAGAAGACAATGGTCTGAATACATAATTTTTCATTTAATCACTTATATTAAATAATTTGTGAACACGTTTCAATAATACATATTCTTAAATTTCCAAAGTTTCATATGTTTCACTTAATAGCATTTCTCTAGAATTAAAAGTTTTATAGCATCATACAAACCACTGTTATTTTAATTTTCAGAATACCGTTCTGTTCTCAAACTTCTCTTTTGATCTTATCTCACGTAGACATTTCAAAAATTATTCAATACTTAATTACACTCAATTATATGTTCTACATGTATCTTTCCTGCTTTTGTTTCTACACGCTTTATATTTGTTTAATTTCTCTTCAAATTTTATTTATTTCTATTAAATTTATCAAGATTTTATTTAAAACAATGTACAATCTGTACAATAATGAAGCAAAAGAAGATGTTTATTAATTTAATATAAACAATGTGATGATTTCAATGTCAAAATAATACGACTTACAATCACGGAATACTATTTTATATACGTAATTCACGAACAAATCAAAATTGTGACATTTCTCAACAAACATTTAAGTGAAATATATTGGCCAGGTTCTACTATATAATCACCATGGTAAAGATATACAAACAATTAGTGAGTTATAATGATTGAGATAAATCCCTTTGACTCAATTAATTTATGGACAATATTTGTTTTGTAGTTTTTTTTTCAAAGAAGTTTTATGAGGTTGCTTTTAATCTTGTACAAATGTTTTTTTTATTCATTGAAAAGAATTTTAAAAAACTTATTAAACAGATAGAAAAGGTTTGGCTAGTTCGTATAATGATGAAACGATATCATTTATAACTATAACTATTAATATATTTTAGAACAGATAAAAGATAGCACGTGTGTTTTAAATTATTAAATTAATAACTCTTTTAAATTATTATTAAAATTAATACTAACTCTTAATACAAATTATCCATCTTGTTAATCTTAAGTTTATTTTTTTTTATAAACCAGACCAGAATATTTCAACCTATTTGTATAATAAATAAACGTAAAGCTAATTTATTAAACGTGGAATAGCGCAAAGAGTTATGGTAGCCATGCTTCAAATAATATTATTTTTTATAAAAAAAAAATAAAATGTATTTATACGAATGTTTAAATTATAAATAGAATCAATAAATTTAAACAAACTAATAAACTATTAACTTCAATAAAGTTTTGAAACATACAATATATTGGACAATAATATCACTTATGAGAAGTTAATATAGATGATTTCCTTTTTTAATTATTAACTTTAAATTATCAACTTCACATTTTATAAATATTAAATCTATTGTCCTTGATTTTTTACAGCAAATATTAGCTCTTGATCGCTTTACATTTATATATATATCATGATAATTATTTTAAGAGAATTTCCTGAAATTACAACTTAAAACACATATTTTCAAATCTTTAATTTG